GTCGTGCAGCAAACTAGCACGCCTATTATCTCCCAGTTGTCCACCTGGTCGCACGTTGGAGTTCAGCAAGCCAAGGATGGCCAAGTGGTTGGACACTCGCTATCCTCTTTGGTGTCCATATGAACAAGTAGAATGAACGCATTAAGCGGCCAAAACTCGGAGAGACTAGCTCGTAACGGCTTTAATGCGTCAGAGATTTATGTCGTATAGCTCGGATGAAATTCCATCGTGGTATAAGAGCCAGCGGGGCTTGCGCCGGTAGAGGAAGTCAAGAGTTATGCGCGCACTGATATCTACCATAAACCCATAGACCCCCCAGTTTTCTCTTTCTCTCACGTTCTCTCTTTTGGCGGTGCATTCACTATCTCACCCTCTCACCAACGTTCTCGTATTCCAGGCGCACTTAATTAAATACGTATTAAGGGTCTGAGTGTATTCCGATGTACCGATGAACGAGAAAAGGGTACACATTTTATCGAGCTTTATGTAACAAGAACTGCAGGACATTGAGCTATACAACTAATCTTACTATTGCGATTTTCACGAGATGTATTTATTTGATTTCTCATTCATTACGCCAATGAATATACATTGCAGCTCGGCTTCTGCATGTGAAAAAAATAGAAGCTTTAGATATTTTTTTATTATTTTGCACATTCGGAACAATGATCTGAAGTTTAAGAATGAATGAAAATTGTTTTGAGAACAAAAGACCCTGAATTAATAATAATTATTCTTATTTAAAAATATTCCGATTAAGAAAGAAATTATTTTTGATCTGAAAATATAATTTTATTTTATTTAAAGTTGGAATGTGTTACATAACGGTTTAACTTTGATTCCAATATTTTAATGATGTTTTTACTTCGCAAAAATTTTTTCTTAAATACAATTTTTAATTAATTATCGATTACTGTTTGATGTTTATTAAGAGTTGCGTAAAAATAAATAATCTTAGTGACGTATACTTTAAAGAGAATGTAAAAGTACCTACGATTAATTAAAATTCTCGTATTTAATTTACTCTAAAATATTAAATATCTTCAGTTGGATAATATTTATAATTTAAGTCATTGCGAAAGTCTCAGCAAAGTAGTGCAGTAATTAATCCAATCTAATATTTCAATCATTTAAAATTTAATGAGTCAATTAAGATTTAATTATAGATGATGTTGTCTTAGAAAAAAAAGATGACTATCAGTTGATGAGGATTAGTAGGAGTTTAGGAAAACAATATCTAGACATGCTAAAAGTTTTGAAAATAAAATGAAAAATCAGGATATGATAGAAGAATAAATATATTACTTCACTAAAGTCCTTTTTTACTTTATGATCATTATCCATAATGACCGTAATGGATATATCACATTGAAACACGTGTAACATTACCATAACCAATGGATAAATCTGGTAGCATTTCTCTTATCCACGGTAATTCAGCAGTTCAATAATTGAGTTATTGACTCAATAAAATCTCCGAATGGTAAAGTAAATATTTATTCATTCAAATCAGCAAATGCAAAAGGGAGAGAGAGAGAGAGAAAAAGAATGAAATAAAATTTCTTTGGTGGAAAAATATTTTCTTGAATGACTAATACATGATAATTTTGCGAGCAGTAAAGTTTGCAAGTGTTGAAATTGTAGATATTAAAAATAAAGAAGTAATACAAAGTATGCAAATAATGTGGAGGAGAGAAAATAGCAACACTATAAAACAAACGGCAACAACAAAGTTCTTGGTATTACTTGCTTCTCACTTGATGGTCAAGAGAGTTAAAATGCTCTTCTTCTGCTTCCATTCCACTACCGCTTACACTGTACGTGTACTTTCGTTTTACTCATCATCTATACGGTTATACTTCAGGAATAATATTTCACAGTGAAATGGCGGTACTTGCATTCCCACCGACAACTAGCCAGACAATAAAATAAGGCATTTGTATCGTCTAATAACACTTCGTCTTTCGCACGAATTCACTACGAGATTTTCTTAGCAATAAAAATCAGAGAACACCAAGTTAGAGTGGTAGGAATCGCGAGGAGAGGATGAAGATGGACAAAGGAAGATATTCGTATAGAGAATTCACCGAAGAATACGATAAAAAAATGTAGAATCGGCTACGGGGTAATGATAACTTTGGTGGGATAATAACTGGTCGAATAGACGCCAGGAAAGAAGGACATGAAGAGAGAAACACTGGAGAAGACTCAACTCTGAAAATAATCTAATTATTGGTGAAAACGATTATAGTAATTATGCGAGAGATGAGCGGGCTCTCTGTTTGCTACCCGTGGACCTTTATTAGATGTATGCCAAGAGGGTTTCAGCCAAATGAAAAGGCGTACTTTTCTACACGAAAGATCCTCCTTCCTCCTTCGTGGAATCACACTACGAAATCGAGATCCTAACGATCATGTAATTATCCTTAAAACTAAGCTCCACTCTATTTTATTTTGTCATATCAAATATGTCTTGTATTTATCATTTTATTTCCCTTCTCTTTAATTATGCAAAATGAATATTTTTTATATAACATTAATATGCTGAATATTGCATATTTACATCTAGATCATTCTTTCCATCGTTATTATTACAAGGAATTTTATTTTTAATTAGATTTTTCATTAATTAAAATTAATAAAAAATTTTTAATTAACAGATTTTTATTCTTTCTATTTACATTTTCATTGTATGCAATTGAAAAAGAATGAGTTCCTTGCTCTATTGGAAAAGAGTTTAATTTTTTTCTGATTATAATTATTTATTGATTAAATTTTTTTTAATGCATAAAGAATTTTTTATTATTAAATATTGTGTAAAACAGTAGTGAATTAAAGACAACGAAGGACTAATTTGCCGATCAAAATGTGATAAATAAGCAGCATATTCAGTAGTATATGAGAATTGCATTAGTCTTACTTATGCAAACTTCACGAATTATCATTGTTATCGCCCACGAACGTCCTCGTTATCATTCCTTATCATTAACAACATCGCCACCATCTCGTTATCGCTTGTAATCGTCCTCGTAGCACTCGACGTCCTCGTTTTCGTACGATCGCGATCGTTAATTATCTCTATCAGCTGCTTGATCGCTTCTCTTTTCTTCCCTTCTTCTCTCACTCGCACTTACGATGCCACATGTTTGTCCATCTAGCTTAGTCATTATCATTCTGATAATTACCAGCATACTTGTATATATTTCCACGCTATCGACTCGTTATCGTAGTGAAATCGCTTCCGCAAGTCAAGGAAAAATGCATCCAAGTATATAATGCATGTTCATGAGTCCAATTGTTTGACCTCTTTCTAAATTATGACTTCTACTGCTCTATCTAATTACACTCATCTTTTATCCTACATAGAAGAAGAGCAAACGTTCATTAATTTTTTTTCTCATTAAATATTTATCTTATACTAACTAACAAAGTAACGAAATTGCGTCAACTCTATTAATGAAGTATTAATCGAAAGTTTTTAATTTTTTTTTTTTTAGATAATATATATATAAATATTTTTAAATATTCTTAATGCTTAATATGATGAAATATAAATTTTATTAACAATGTAGTTAAACGTTTCAATATGTTTGTCGTAGGAGTATAATTTTAATAATAAAATAAAAACCGAGAATTTTTTACGGTAAATTGACGGTAAAAGTCGTCGTAAATTTAGTCGAGTATTTTTATTGAACTGAACACTCAGATTGGAAAATAAAAGTCTAATATCAGCTCGAAAAATTCATCTCCTCAAAATTCCAACGTATATAATAAGATACGAGAGGTAATAAAAGCGATTAACGGTTGACAATCAACTTAGAAATTAGTACTCGCGGGTTTAATTGAAAGTAGCAGCTGGTAAGTGGGATTTTCCTCATTCATAGTGTAATGGGTAGTGAAATTGAAGTTGAAGGGACTGTTAAACCCACGCCCTTTCATCCACCAAGTCATTTATATTTCTTTTCTTCATTTTGTCAAGCCACTCAAATTGTTTGAGCCGGTCCAGAGGGAGGGAGAAGTGAGTTAAAAGGTATAGAGAATTTTTAAACATTGTAACAGCTTGGTGTCCCACAACCACACGCTGAGCTACCAGGAAGGACCGTCGTTATTAATTAAGAATCGGTATGAAGGTCTCTGGTTAAATCTATCCAGGCGACCAGGTAAACGAAAACTAAATGAGATTTTACATGAACTTTCTGCCAATTTTTATACCAAAACATTTGTTAATCTCTAAATCGCATCAACATCTACCTGGTTGGATCTACAACTAAAGGAAAATATTTATCATATATTAATTAGGTTTGAAAGGCGAGTGATCAAAGAATTTACAAACATCATAAACCAACAGATTACGAATGAATGAGTCAATGATATTATTGTGTGAACTTTAGCTGAACTTAAGTGGGTTAAATATGAAACAATAAAAGGACAGAATCTTTCCATTAAGGCTATTGATACAAAGATATATTTGCTAGACGTAATGACCGGCAATAAATAGAAATATTACTAAAGGTCAATAGAACGGTGTAGTGGAGGTAAACTAATGGGAATTCCCACAAGGGAGGGAAAATAAATGGAAAGATTTGATTAGAAGCCAGAGAAAGATCATGGAAGCGAGTAATTATTGCGAGCTTTGTTCATCCGTTCGGTGGAATTCGAGAAGTAAAATTGCTGCTTCAGTTTAATTGTAGCAAATTGTTGAAGCTAGACATGTCATTGGAATGTTTCGGGATCAATCACTAAAGGAATTCCGGAGTGATTTTCGTTAATTGAAATGAAATACATATTAAAGTTTCATTCTTTCCACTGTTTTCATAATTTATTCCTTGCTATTGCATCATTTCATGACCAATTCATTTCCTCATACCACTTGGATGACTTCAACTCAACAAATAAAATCAATGAAGTTCAAAAATAGATTTTCTTCCTCAATAATTATTTATATAATCTCTAGTCAATATTGTAAATAACACTTGGATTCTTTTTTTTTGATATTTCAGGTGAGAATTGAAAAAAGGAAGAAGCGGTCGTACACCGCGGAGTTGGACCAGTAAAATAGAGTAACAAACAAATATTTTTTTTCGTGACACGTCGTCGGTGGGCTCTTAAGGCCCACCCATATCATTGGTCAAGCTGGCGAGCGCTTTAACCGCTGGGATGAACCCCCACCATCCGGGCCACTCAGCAGCTTATCCTCATCATCCCTCGCTGTCGAGTAGTCCGCATCACCCTGGTGCTGGGGGACCTCATCACGGAGGATACACAACGCCTACTGGCAATTCAAGTGGAGGTGCAGGTGGTGCTAGCAGCGGTGGAGGAAGCAACAGCACATCTACACCAGACTTGCCTAGTCCTCATTCACCACCGAGTCATTCAGGCCAAACTGATCCCGGTACACCTTACGGTTCCATGTCAGGTACTCCTGGCATGGGCACTAATGGACATCATCACGGAAGTGGTGGAATGATGGGTGACAATCCCCATCATTCGGTTCATACACATCCACATTTACCAGGCCACCCGGCTTACCCTCCTGTCAATCATAACAACAACTGCACCTTGAAGGTAAGCATTAACGGTGTTTATCAATTTTTTTTCACTCTATTTAGATTCTCAATTCAGCGGAAATGGTTCGATACAGTTGTTATTGAGTATTAAGAATAATATTTTGAAGTCAACAATAAGTATTTTTGTACAGCTATTGAAAGAAGTTTTTTTCTCTCATAGAAATCATGAATTTGGAAATATTTCAATGAAACAAATAATTTTCCTAGAAATTTAGAATATAAATAGAAGAAAATTAGAGGCATTATAAAGGAAAAAAACTATTTTGTATTGGAATCAAGAAGTTTTCTAAATCAGTCATTAATCTTAGTTACAATAATTAAATGTTTGATGTTCAATTAGCATATTTTACTAAAATACCTACATTTGTAGGTTTTTAAAGTGACAAGAAGAACAAGATTTATATCTCTAGAGAGCATACGAGATAAATTTTAAAATAAAGCTTGTCATTTCTAAGAAAAATGACATTGTAATGTTTAACTCATCATCATGTAGTATATATTCTTTACAAAATCAAATTAAGGATTACTTTAGTTATGCATGATGACCATAAATTTATTCAGGTTCTTGACCTGATGATGATTAAAATGATGAGTAGCCTTATGGGAATGTCCTGGTCTAGAATACAAATATTGTGAAACATAGCAGTGACACATGAGCTTGGATTTAGGTAGATACGATCGTGTGAAACAATCGGAGCTGAAGAATATCGAGAGGTACGTTTCTGAGATTCTTGCATCATCGTTTAAGAACAAGTTGGCCTATACTTTCTACAACTATGTATCTCTAGAGCTCTCTGGAAGTGAAAGAAAGCTATGGAAAAGTACCAAACTCTACAATATTAGCAGTTGAAGAATATTCCAAAGGTATCTAAGAAGAACTTCTCTACTTCATTTCTATAATCGATACATTCAAAAAAAAACTTGGAGTAAATTACGAGTTTATTCTAAATCGAATAAAGGCAAGTTTGACATCTCTATGACACATGGGAGAGTTAATAAAAGAAGAAATGAAGGAAAAATCGCAAGGATAGTGAGAATGATGACCATCATGAGGGGTATGGAGCTCTCGAGTAGAAATTCCATGGGTATTATCCAGAGACGTGACCCTCACTTAGCTCGCCATTGACAAACGTAACAATATGGGCATTTACCATGGAGAAATATAATTGAATGGGGAGAGGAGTGAAGAGAAGAAATAAAGAGAGAGAAAAAGAGAGAAAGAAATCAGCAATAAAAGCAAAGAAAGAACAGGGAGAGAATATTCCCCACTACCCGTATCGGACCCTTCCCTTTTTGAACGTTAGTTAGGTCCTTTCTAGGCTCGCCTTTTTATTCTTCATCGCATCCCCACCACTGTTGAGAGCAAGAACAACGCACTGGAGTACCTGAACCCAGGGACCCCGCAAGGCATTCAGGTCCCAAAGCCATCCGCCAGACCCCGTCCAGTCAGTTGGGTCCTGACTTCGGTCGGGGCTTGTTCGTGTTCTTTCGCTTCTGCCACACGCTCACTCTCTACTCCCCTACCCGTGGTAGCTTGTCTCTGAGTAACCAGTTGTGTGTTGTTGCGTGTGAGTACGATCAACGTGAGTCAGTTGCTCGTAGCTTCGCCTACGTTTTATTCCGGTTTCATTTTTAATGTCCAGTTCTTTTTTTATGCAAGAGTGATTCTAAGCTTGTTCATCATAAGCTAGACGAGAGGTTTATTGAAATAATGTGCGAGTGGTAAAACTACTACTGTTTTGTTCAGAGTGTTGTGAATACATCAAACTAACAAGGATTATTATTTATCCGATCGTTTAATTTGAATACACCGATAGAGGAATATTTTCAATCGCTTTGGAGCCATTTGGATAATCTCCATGGAGGTTCACTCACATCACTACAGCGCCATCACTGCGCGAATGAACCAGATGAAGTGTTATCCCGGCGACAAGATTGTAAGCAGCAGCGTGCACTTGTCCTACTGCTCGAGAGAAAAAGGATATTCGAGAGAAGGAAGAGAAGAAGCAAAGGGGGATATATAATAAGAAAGGTGGTGGTGGGATTGTTGGCTAGGAGAGGGGTCGCGGATATTTACTACGACATTGAAATGAATTCCCAACGCGATGAGCGCGAACCGCAAGGACATCCTTGGATTTCAAGATCTCCAACAATGATCGTTGTTCCGTTTTTGGGATTCTCATCGCGCGTTTGAGGATTTGCTTGATATTCCACGAAATTTTATGGCTTACTAAAATCTCCTTTGAAGAATTCTCTAGTGAAACCTTTAATAAAACTCACAAAAAGTTCATTAATTCACTTAATTATTAGTGAGAAAAAAAATCGTCGTTTCATCATCAACAAAAATTGGATCGAAATTCAATAAATTTGTCTCTTAAGAAAACTACTCAACCGATTTAAATATTCACTTTCTTCTATTTAATAACTTCGTGGGCAATCAACAGTTGAAGTTTTCACAAGAATAACTGAAAAATATTTTTCCATTGACATTTTTCTGTTCAATTTCCTGATAATGTTAGTGAAATTGTGATAAAAAGTGTTTATAAAAATTTTTCATCGGTTTTTCAGAATTTTACTACGATCGTAAAATTTTGAAAGATCTTTTAACATCCTTAAAAATAATTAAAAGTGTAAAAAAACCATTCACATACCGTTTGAAAACCCACGAAAGTTTGATATAATAAAGTAAAGCCCTTTTCCTGTTTCCTATGCGTGACCGTCTCAAACGAGTGGTTCAGAGGAGATTGACTTTTGCGTAAGGGACACGGGTGCGTGATTTCGGTCGAGTAGCTCTCAAAAATATACCGTTTATTTTCTTATATAAATGCGTTGAATGAAAACGAAAGAGAGAGAGAGAGAGAAAAAAAATGATTTAATTAATTTTGATCAATAATTTTGGAATTAATGGACATATAATGGACATGATAAAGTTATATGATACCTTAAACTTCTTCTCTTTCTTTGAATATCATAAAACATAAAATAATATCTCTCAGCAGTGTTAAAAATAAATAATGAATTTTTTAATCTACATTTATCTTGATGAGAAAATTAATTAATAAATTTAATACAAGGTTTAATAAGTACAGAAAGTTAATTAGTGTTTGTGATATTGCAGCAAGAAGGCGGACCGCCAGGATCAACGAGTATCCAAACTTGTGCGGGCTGCGGTGGTAGGATAGTAGAAAGATTTCTGTTGCACGCTTTGGATCGTTATTGGCACAACAGTTGTCTCAAGTGTCATTATTGCCAGTCACCCCTTGCGGACATGGGCACATCGTGCTTCACTAAACATGGATTGATCCTCTGCAAGCATGACTACACGAGGTAAGCATCTATATTTTATTACAAACCCCATACATCTTTACATAATCATCAATTGATTTCCGGATTAACTTTGACGTAAGGCACTTGACTGAAACCCGATCATTGTGCCAATACTTGCGCCCTTCAATTTGCATTAATCCCCACTTGAATACACTTTATTCATCCCCAAGTGCCTGTAATATCAATCAGAAATCCTAAGTAGAATGTTAAGCTCAATGTGAGCCAATTTAATGCTTAAAAAAATTCTTATAGACTTATTTTTGTACCTTTGATTCACAATGGTTTTAAAGATTTTAAATTAAACAAAAAAATTATAGTTTTACAATCGAAATAAATTGAAGCTTGGCAGCTTGGTGGCATCAATCAAAAAGATGTTGAATTGGCTGGTAATTTTAATAAAAAAAAAAATTGATCGAGGAGCTGTTGGACGAGTTGATATAAATTCACGAGATAATGCTAGGTAATCGTTGGGGACCGTTCCAAATTTAGAGGATTCGAGGTCAGAGTACAATTTAATGAGAAACAGACGCCGACTTAGGTGGACCCGTCCGCCCGGAATAGATCGACGTGGCTCGTCCAACCATTCCTTCGTTCTTTCGTTGAACCGTTGGATACTTAGAGTTTGTCTTGCTCCTGGATGTTGTCTCTCTCATTCTCTTATAACTCAGTTGGTGTGTGGACGAGTTCGCAGACAAAAGCGCGCTAAGAGCCAATTACCGGACCACGGGTATCGTTTTCCTGAAAATAATATGGGTCCCGCCTCTTGTCTTCTTAGTTTTACTGTTGAAAATCTCCAAAGACCATCATCTGGTATTTTTATAAGCTTTTTCATTTCTATTTTATTTTCTTATTTCACTCTATATGTAGGTACGTTATCTACTACCGAATACTCTTGCTATACTCTTTTCCCTCGACAACGTACGAATTTAAATATTCTGAATGTGAGATTTGAATTTTCTATCAGCTGGCAAATTTGTGTTAGACTATCTTCAGTGGTTTCACATAGATTTGAGATTACTATTGGAAAAATTTATTCAACTATTGTAAATTCATCAAAGTTCTTTTATTAACAAAAATGAGAGAGTATTATTAATTATTTTAAATTTACCAACTTTTTTTTTTTTTAATAAAAATTCATTGATGAATTGCTCGTATTTAAAGTGACAAAAGAAAACTTCTGTTATAATAAAAATAATTCCGTTGAATTGAACAAAAAAAACTTCATAAAGATTATTACGAAATTTTTAGTTTTCACGTCGATGTAAATTGAAAAATTCTTGTTCCATATTGTAAATTCCACTTGATTTTATTTGAACATGAATATTTATTAAAGCAACAAAATTAAAATAATTTAACTAATAAATAATAAATAAATGAATAGATAAAATTCTTGTGAGTTTCGTTATTTTATATAATGGCACGACTAAAACAAACAATTCAATCATTGGAAGCGTGCTCATAAAGCTCCTAGAAAATAAACCGCTTAAACGAAAAGTATTCTACAAGCCCGTGAAATACTTGAGCAAAAAAGAAGAGAGAAAGAAAGCGAATGGAAAACGTTTTCAAAGCTTGCAATAGTGAAAACGCAAAGAGGTAACACGTGGATGAGACGAAAAGTGAGAGAAGGAGAATGAGAGACAGTATGAAAGAGTAGATGGGAGATGGCTCGTTTCTTTTGGATTCAAGGAATGTTTCAATCAGTTTGATTGAAGGGCTGAGCTACGGCAAGAGGGTAAACTCGATTTACAGGCATGTAGGGTGATGCCAGGCGGAGGGGATAGGCACGAAAGGGTGTGTGGTACTGCGGTAGTCAAGCGGGAGCTGGCGTTGTTGGGGGTTGACTGCTAGTGGAGGGTTGAGGAACGAAGCAGAGGAGTAGAGAAGAGGACGAGTAAATCAAGGGGTGGGTGCCACAATCACCGAGATGCGTCCAATCAGCCCTCTCTCTCTCCTCACATTTTGGCTGCACGGACGTTGGATTGAGAGAGTGAGATGAATAAGGGAAGAGAAATGAGGACGAAAGACGTGCACATTCGTATGTGAATGAGAGAGAGGACTAAAATATTTGGCTGGTGTTAGAGTAAGAGGGAAAAGAGGGCGAGAGGATCATAAGGATGAGTCTGAATACGACAAAGAGGTCTTGGTTTGGCCGCCACGCGGTCGACGAAGACGAGCCAATCATCGCGTGGCTTTACGCTGGAGCACGTCAGTCCGACGTCACGCGGTCCCAGTTTGGCCTAGATGTGCAATCAGACTACTTCAAGCATCCCCTTTCCGCTCTTGCGCACCCCCTCAACGCCACTCACCCTTCTGGCCGAATACCAAATTCCAGCTATTCGGTCGTGGTAGGTGGGTAGGTACTTTGTTGAATCAACATGATTGGGCTTGACGCGACGAGCTACGACACAGACGAAGAAAATAAAGAGAAGATGAAGATCGAGGATATTCACTTTGCTATACCTTTTACTTTATACTAACTTTACTTACTTGCTTCATTTGAACCCGTCGGAACGATAATAAATATTCTGACGTAAATTTTATTAAGAAATTTACTATCGTTTGATTTATCTAGTCTGATGTCTTTGGCATTGAAAAAATATAAAGAAAAAATATTACTTCAGTATTCCATCAACATTGATTTTTATTGATAGTAATTATTATATCAGTGATAAAACTTAATTGAAAATTTTTTTTAACGACTCTTGATAAGTTGTTCAAAAAATTTCCTCGACTTTAAATGATTTAAACTATTTTTAATGACATACATTCATTTGCTCTAATTCCTTATCAACACGAAAATTAGCGTCGACTGCATGACAAGCGTCTGTTAAAGATAACTCGTCACGAACGTGGGAAAAAAAGTTGGTTAAAGACCAGTTGTAGAGTGAAGTTAAATAAAATAAAAAAAAAAAAAAAGGAAAGAAATGAGGAAAATCAAATGACTGAAAGTTTTCAGTGTCGTAGATTCGATTTCGTAGGATATCGTCTAGGACTTGTGGACGAGAGAAATAAATGTGTAGAAGAGTAAAAGGAGAAAGAGGAGGTGGCACAAGAGGGTGGCAACGTTAGCGATAAGGGGTTCATTAGAGGCAGTTTATTACCGCCTTTGAAGTCTCTCGCGTGTTGCCATTAAGTCGCTCGATATCTCGTAATATCTCGCTCTAATCTCGCAAGGAGAAGTTAATTGCTACCTCCCTCTTCCAGTCTTTCACTTCTTCCTCTTTCCTGAGGTTCCACCACCCTCTTCTTTTTGTCGTCTCTTGCCGAATCTATACCGTGTCGTCTTTACAATTATAAACTTAATTAATCGCATTAACTTATGTTATTTATAAATTAGAATAATCCGCTTTACTTCCAACTATCTAATAAATTTTTTTTCAATCATTTTTACTTACGTTTATTACCATTTAACTGATTAAAAAAAATTCTATTCCAATTGAAAAACCAGAACCTGTTTAACTTCTGATAAGATTTTAATGACTAAAGTCATTTTCAGTCTGAAAAATTAATTTATTTTATTCATAATAAATAGTTGAAATATTAATATCAAAATACATAAATATTAGAGATATATATTTTTAAGTTTATATACAAACCTGATGAATAACGTGCGTGTTCGGAATTTAGTAAAGCGAACATAAGTCTCTTCGTTCGTTTAACGTTCACTGAAGCCACGTCTTGTGGAAAGCTCTGATGTGAGCTTTGAGCTTTAGGTATTTTATGCGAATGAATAAGGTAGAGAGGGAGGATGCATGTCACGTTTGTCATCCCCTGGATATTAGAAGGCGTTTATGTCTCTTTTGCGTTGACAGTACCGCGTCTTTGAGGCTAAAATAGACTGGGAGGGAGTAATATGAACATGCTCTTAGTGTCTCGACAATTTCTGTATCAGGCAGAAAGTAGTTTGTCTTCACTATCATCAGTGTCATAAAAATGGGAAGGACGATTAAAAAAAAAAAAAATACAAAAGCATTTAAGTATTTCTTTTTTATTTTGGTTCATTTTTATCAATTAAAGTTTATTAGTTACGAATATTTTTTAATTATCTTGATATCTAGTGGATATAATTTTTCAATGAATATATTTTTTAATAAAAGAACGCTTTTTATTTTTAATCATCAAAGAACCAAGTGTCGATATATTCAAAGAGTCCATTGAATAATATATATTGGCGGCGTCACGTACATTGCAAACGAATTTCCCATAGCTTACTTCTTTGACGAAGACCTCCAGGCATCGGGTACTGAAACGTAACTCCCAGCACGTACGTCGAGAGCAGATAATCCGTAAAAAAAAGCCATCACATTGACAACATACGATAGGTTTCTCTACACTATACCAGAAAAGCATCCAGTGATGCTAGGCAATTACTCTACAACCCCCTCTTGTTTTCTCTCCGTTGCAATTATTGCCGGGACGTCCTTTGTTTTTCACTAATTGAAAAATACTCACGAGTAGAGTAAGATAGCAGTGTAGAAACGAGTGAGATACTAATAGAACTTTATCGGCACTCAACATTCGTCAAAGACTCATGTGACTCAAATAAAAAATTAAAAAAGAAGTCAGAAAGGATAGAAAGAAAATTTGATTAATCGATTTATCTGTTAGTTTTATTTTTAATTGATTTTTTTCATTTATGATGATATAAATAATTATTTTATTACATCTTAAGTTCAGGTTCTACAGAGATTTTTAAATTATTTGAATTTTCTTCACTTTGTCTCTATTTATTTAATTAATCAAACAAAATGATTTATATGAAAGCATACACATGATATTATTTAATGTTTTTCCGCAATTTTCATGTGCAAATTGAATGAATTTCTCGGTTAAGTGCATTCAGAAAAGCGTGAGCGAGTGTATTGATGTGAATTTTATTAAAAAGTTAAAGCTTTTAACTGACCATAAAATTCATTCAAACAAATTAAAATTATTTTCAATAAATATTTCTATAATTAATAAATACTAATAATTTTATTGTTTATCCAAGTAATTTTCAT